GAGAGAGAGAGAGAGAGAGAGAGAGAGAGAGAGAGAGAGAGAGAGAGAGAGAGAGAGAGAGAGAGAGAGAGAGAGAGAGATTTGTGACTTTGGGATTTGACGACATTTGGATTCAGACTCGACATTGGGACCGAGACATAGGACGAGGGATTATTTGGGGTCTATATCGAAGACTTGGTGTTGACGACATTCCCATCTTCCCCCTCTTCTTCGTCTGATTCCCCTCCTCCTCATATGTGTATGGTTTGGGACTGGCGCATTCTTCCTGTGTGAGCGCCAGGCCCCTTCACACCTTGCAATGATGATGATGTATGTTTGGTCTGCATTGCGACATTGATTGGTCTGATCATTGGTATTTTAGCTTTCCGCTGCGCTATCCTGTACTATGTGAGAGAGGTCGGTTCTTTGTTCTGGTCTGTACCGTTACGGTATGCAATAGTACGCCTTGTAGAGTATTGTTTTGGATATATTGCTTGGTTCCCCCAGCATTATCAAAAGACATGTGCGGCAGGTAAGTGCACTCTTGCAGACACACCTGCATTCTTGGCATTTCCGGTGGGGCAATGATAGCAGACATGCAGACATATGTCTGCCGGACATGTTTGCTCCTGAACATCCCAAATGACCAGGGTTGTTTGGCAGGCATCTCTGCTCCTGACACCCAGATGTTTGCGGTTGTTTACCAGAAATGTCCACTCTTTCACAGAGGCAAGCTGAATTCCCAAAACCAACACGCACAACCCATGTAATCGCCAATAGTTAAAACTTCTCTTTCACAGAGTGAGGTACAAAACCCAAGATTCAAGCAAGCCCCCAGACAACACTCAAAGAAAATAGAATGTGCATACCAGTGCTGCCAAGAGCAGGCCCAACGAAGATGATCAAATAGTCAGATAGCCTAAAGGGCCAGGACCACCAGAGTCAGGCACTGCGGCTGATACACTTCAGTAGTGTTAGTAGAGAGTAGATATGGGCTCCTTTCTTTTGTGTTCAAAAAACAATTACATCAAACTTGGACATTCTGCGCAAAATCAAACATATTAATTATGTGGGAAAGATATCAGATGCAGTAACCCTGTTCAGCAGCAGACCGGGGCTCAGAACTTCGCCCCCGGTAGAAACACAGACTCAGTGTCTGTGCTGGGCTATGTGACCGAGACATGCCCAGCCTGAGTCTGTCGAGGAGGCTGTGTGACCGAACGCGTCACAAAGGAAATTCAACAGTCAAAGTCAACTGTAGAGTCAARGGTACCGCGCCCAGGCCTATGKTCGGATACATTCACTTGTTGTGTGCAGGTACCCAGACAGCATTCAGGGCGGGAGGAATACAGTTTCTGGCCAATCTGGGCCCTCATTCACATCGAGATCAGGACGGTGCAGGACTTCAACACCCGGGGTCCAGACCCCTCATCCACACTACTTAAGAGTTGACTTCCTGGCTGGAGAGCATTTGGTCTTGTGTCAATGCTGCACGCATTGACTTTGACATTGACGCTGCGATGCTGCGACGCTGCGACATTGGCTTGACGCTGGCTCTAGGCTGGCATAGGAGGAGGACGGCAAGGCGCTGCTGGCTGGCATAGTGGCTGGCCGGGAATGGTCTTCTGGGCATGCTGACGTGGCAGCTGCCATACGCCATTGCTGATGTGGCCGCTGCCACCTGTATATGATTGATGACGTGGCGGGCTGCAAGGTTGATGAGGCTGTTCTGATTCTTCGTCATTTTGGAAGGAGATCAAGACTGTGGTTATCGAGGATACGTACCTGGTTGATGACGATACTCTCCATTTGCTGATGTAGACAGATTGACGTGCCRCGTGGCACATTGAGGAAGAACTTCAGACATTGTATTCAGTATATTGATTGATGAGGTGGCGAGTAGGAGGAGGGACCCGAAGCAGAAGTGGGCTGTTGTCTTCTTCTCTCTCCTTTGTCTATTCTCCCCTTTTCCTCTTAATCTGTGTATGTTTCCCACCTCATTCTCTCATCACACATTTGCAATTGTTTGTCATTCATCAGCAGATTGATAATCATATGGATTGGTAATGTTGACGAGTATCATCACGTCTGGGCTCATTGCACAGATATCTGATCTCTCCCCTTCTCACACTCCCTCCCTGCTCCCACCTCCCTCCTCCTTTCCTCTGTCTCTCACACAAACATATCTTTATTCAAGAATCAGATATCATACCCCTCCTCCCTTGGCACATTATCAGCAACATCCCCCTTCGTCAATGCTCAACCCTCCGCGCCTCCACCCACCTTTCCGTTCCCCATGCCACATGATTAGGCTTCGCAAACCCCATGCCTCAGGATTTCCATCACTGCACCACAAAACCAAGAATTCAGCTTCGGATCAGAGAGCAAAAGGGAAGAAGCATGAATACTCACAAAGACGTAAGGTTTGTTAACTTGGCAATAGATTTTGGCAAGATCGAATTCAGATTGAGTTCGCTGAAATCCCTGTCAAGCATTTCAAAAGCTTTGTCAGTAAAAATCATTACATGTTTGTCCTATCAAACAACCATCCAAAGCATGGGCAAAAGCAAAGCATGTGAAAGCACACAAGCATCAAGAAACCAAGAGCTCCAGACATCAGGCAAAGCATTATTAACTCTGCTGCAAGAAACAAAGAGATCACTCACCCAAACCACGAGTTCGGACCAGCGAGAGCCTGTTAAGAACCAAACCATTTACATATGTTCCATTCTGTCGCTGTCAGCTGAGTGGTATATACCAGACATCTGCATAAAAGTGTTCCCATTTCAAATGCTCTTGAAGGCACTGTTCTCTTTTGTAACTTTTCAGATTGGTCTAACATCCAATAAAATTTACGGATTTTCTGGCTTCGCACTTTCCCTTTTAAACCACCAGTAACCCACCCAGGTATGTTTTTTCACCTCCAGTATGCTCCAGGGTCACCGGCATGGCAGGGTTTTGGACATGGGCATAGCTTGTATGAAGAGAACAATTGGCCAAAGGTAGAAGCCGAGTTCAACAACTGCTTTGATAAGAAGGGAGCGTTCTGCACACTCAAGGCATCCAAGACAGCAAAAGATAAAACCAGCGAGATGGGGGAGGCGATGGTGTTATGAGTTGCATATACACTGTATCCGCAGGGTATCCGCTTGCTCTGGCAAGTGAGTTCCACATCCGGCTGAGAAAAAAAATGGAGTCTCTTTGAAGCCATCCATTTAGCCCCTTGAAACTGCCTTGGTGCAAACATGCTGCAGACACATAACCTGCATGAGCAGGAGTGATACAGCAGAAGGACACAGAACCTGCTATGCTCTTCCCAGAGAATGCCATAAATCATTGTCTGACAACACATTGCCTCGACAACGCCGCAGCAAGCCCAGCCAAGAGGACGAGGCTGAGAGGGAGACACCTGCAAAGGCAGCACTTGAATCTCAAGGCGGTGGAGGAGACGAGGACAGGGAGGATGAAAAATCTGAGAGTGACTCCCCGGGAAACAGTAGTCACGAAATTGAGCCTTTGGCGGTGAAACGGCGAAGAGAGAGAAAGACATATATATTGTCACATAACTATGAACTAAAAGAGCGCAATTTTTGCGAAACAAACGACAAAAACTGAAAACTAAAAACACAGGACAAACATGAAGGGCACAGTGAAACCATTCATTTTTCTCATTCTTCTTTGGACTCCCCTTTCACCGTGCCTCTTACGTACAAGGCTCGCCACATTGATGAAGTTGAGCGCGAGCTGCCCCCATCCCCGTGTGCCATAACAGCCCGCTTAGGGAGGGGATAAACACAGGGAGGAGAGATGGAGAGCAGACAAACAAAGAGTGATAAAGGGAAAGTAAGGGAAAGTATGGAGTGCGGAGTGAAGATGAAGGCAAAAGAGGATAAGAAAACGCTCAAGAATGAGTCGGTCCTTGACGACAGAGCGGACATACATTGTAAGGATGACGTGGATGAACACATGGAAGACCTAGATGAGCATTCTCAATGCAACAATTGCCACGACGGGTGGCATTGAGCATGCCCGCCATACACCCCCGACAAATGGCATGTCGATTGCAGGCCAAAATGAAAGCAGAACGGTCACCACAAAAGAGCATGCATTCAGTATAGCGCCCATGGCCGCAAAATGGACATATACTGTCCGGATGCGGAGGGTGCCTGCAGTCAGGAACGGTGGGACAGTCCTCTGCACAAATGGATGCAGAAACCATGTCATTGTAGCGATTGTGACAGAGACGATGGCGGCTACAGCCGAGTGTAACAGTGTTTGTGGTTGTGCAAAGGAGAAGGTCACAGAGTGTTGGTACATTGTCTTGCTGCAGCACGAGGCCAGAGGAATGATCTTCGACATAACAGAGATTGCGGACGGTTTGTTGTGGCAAGAAAACAGCATCATTTTGTAAGAAATCAGTGACATCAATCATGGCATGGACCATGGTGCCATTGTCCCACAGCTCCCAGTGGTCAGAGGCATGTACAATGGCCATGTAATGGCCAGGGCCGTGCACAATGCAGGCAGAGATGTGGGATGGAGGAGTAAACCACTCACCTGCTCGAGCATTGCGTAGTTAAGTTGATGGTCCCTCATTGCTACTTGTAGGACAGCAATGGTAAAGCCTCCTTCGCTGGTATAATTACAATCCTCTGGCTGTCGTCGGGGAAGATCAGCATCAAGCTGAAGGGCGATTGCAAGGAAGTCTGATGGTGTATAAAACGGGCGATGGAGAATGTGAAGGCAGATATCAGTTGCTGTCAGACCACAGAGATTGGAGAGGTTCTCAGGCTGGTTTGTTGGATGCTGGCCAACAATTTGCAGATCACCCAGATGGTGTTGCAAGCCCAAACTGTGTTGGGTTATTTACTGGTCAGTCATTTGCAGATCACCCATGTGGTCTGCGTGTGGTGGAGCACAAAATTGTGGTTAATCCGAAGAATGCTGGTCAGCCATTTGCTGATCCCCCATGTGGTCTACGCCTTATGGGGTCAACTGCAATCAGGGCAGATCATGTTCCAATCCCTCAACGTTTAGGGCTGCATTCTGAGTAGGGACTGTACCTGGAGTCGGGAGTGTACTCTGGGCAGCGGATGCATCCTAAGTAGGGACTGGTGGCTGCCTGCAGGCAGCTGGACTGTCTGCAGGAGGCATAGGAACTGATATTGCCGTTTGAAACAAAGGAACCACAACAACCTGTGGAGGAGGCACAGAGAGAATCGGGGCAGACAAAGAAACAGGTTGCTGATCCCTGGACAAGTGACGATGCCGCGGATGTCACCGTGATACACAACAAGAGGAGTAATGGTGTGACATATATATATATATATATGCGCTCTGATACTCTTGTGACAATATATACTCCGACGTTGCTAGCTCTCTGCTTTTGTAGATTATGTGGCAAGCGTCGGTCCTGTACTAACAGGCTCTTCTTTGGTTATGGTAGAAGATATTTTTTTATTCTCTTGTCAGTGAATTCATTTACGTCGAAAATAGCTTGACTCATCGTCCTACCATCCCCTTTTTTTTGTGTTGCTCATTCTTCCCCGTTGTTGGGGTGTTTCATTTTGCGGGCCTACTGTATGGTTCCGTTTTTCTTTTACTATGGATATGGTAGATTTGTTGTGGTGTGGTAACCTTGTCTGCATCCCCTTTGGTTTTATCCCGTTGTCCCGGTACGAATTGCTCACGATGACGCCGAATAAGAATGTCGAACAATGCCATCTGCTGTGTATAGGTATGTATCTGGGACTTATTTTGATTTCTTTGCAGACAAGAATGTTTTGACATCCTGGTTGGTTTTGTCCCGTCATTCGCCCTGTGTGTGTTGGGGCGGTGCTTGCGAGAGAGANGAGAGAGAGAGAGAGAGAGAGAGAGAGAGAGAGAGAGAGAGAGAGAGAGAGAGAGAGAGAGAGAGAGAGGGAGAGAGAGGGAGAGAGAGAGAGAGTTTGTTCAAGTCTCAGACACGTTGTTTGTTCTATTATGGAGTGTCTGCTTTGTCAACCTTTATTCTGTTCCTTCTTGCATTCTGGGCACTCTGCATTCTGCCCCCTTGCTGTTGGCCTGCTTGCAATGGAAGGTTTGTGCTTTTTAGTAATTAAACCAGAAAAGCCATCGTCATGTCAACAGGTATGCCTTGCTAGGACACCGCCCCCTGAGAACAAAGTGAAGGTTGTTATGTGATGACTTTGGATTAAATATGCAAAAGGTACTGGACACCACTGCCAACAATGACGACAACCACCACCAACAACGACCCTAACCAACAGCAACAACCACCAACAATGAGGGCCACAACGGCCGGTAACAACAACCACAACCAATAACAATGACTACCAAAACCGACACAACGACCACCAAAACGAACAACAACGACAGCCACAACCAACAACAATGACAACCAACAACAACAACAACCACAACCAATGACATCATGACGACAACCACAACAACGAACATTAAACCCCAAACCCCAACCCCGAACTACAACAACAAACGGCAACCCCGAACCACAACAACAAGTTTCAAACACAAATTACAAAAACAAACACCAACCCCAAACAATGACAACAACAACAACAACAACAACAATGAAGAAAAAGACGAAGAAGGAAAATTCTAAGACCAGGACATTCTGGATCATGCACTAAGCAGGCAAAAAAAATTAAAAAACATAAAAAAAGAGGAGGGAGAAGAAAGCTGGGGGGACAGCGGAACAACAATGAGAGACAGGGCAAACTGGTTTTGAAACCGAGAAGATGGAGGAGGAGATTGAGAGAAGAAGAGCATTCATGAGTAGTCAACCAATGGAGCAATCATTGGCAATCAATTACAAACCAATAGTCATCATCGGGAAAGTACTCACAAAGCTGTAACACTGCCATTAGTGCAGGTGAGCAATGCGTCAGTTTTCTTTCTATCAGGGCTACCCACGTCACAAATCGAGTTTCGCTGCAGGTTACTCAGTCCCGGTGGATCTCCCAGTTCCTGTTTGATCTCCATTACAATATCAACTGCAAGAACCCAGTAGTCAAGTGACAAACCAGCAACGAGATCATGTTCAGTACTCCCAACCACCTACCAGTCCAATGGTTGAAATACCTCCCGTCCTTCCAACCTTCCCTCTTTCTCCCCTTCCTTCCCCCTTCCTCCCTTCCTTTCTCCCATTTCCGCACTTTGTTCATTCATTCATTCCACCACTCCCTTCTCTATCATCCCATCCATCCATCCACCCAATCTGTGCCATCGATTCTCCATTCATGCACTCATGTATTCAGTCATCCACTTAAGCTCAATTGGAAAAAAGGTCTACATCTGGTGCTATCCCATGTAGGTTAGGGGTTGCACACCTTTACGTTATGGCCCTGCAACATCACCTCTGCAAAAGGGTCAAACTCCAACCAAACGGCAAGAAGATTACACCTAATGCCAGTGTTCATAGCAGATTCCCGAAGACCAATAGACACTCGTTCCGTTGTGCTCCTCTACCTTTTACAATTTCAGCCCTGTTAGGAGAGGAAGAGGCATGCAATAGGCATTGATCCATCTATCCTTTTCTACTCGAACTAAACTAACCAGGATAAGTGAAGGGCATCACTTATCTGGAGGAACACAGTGCCATGCTTGCAAAGAAGCACAGTATCAGCTGCCTTGCTGGGCTGTATCAAAATAGGCACCACAATGACCACACACACAAAAAAAAAAACGGAAAAAAAGAAACAAAGTCCTTATGGTCCTGGCATCATATCCATTCTGGGTCCGGTTCTTATTCCACCCGCAAGTTATAAATATAACAAGAACACCCTCACACTTCCTTCCGTTCGTCGAAGGACCCCTGATCAGCATTGATCGCTCCAGATGCCTGGAGGGTTGACTGTCAGCTTGCCTTGCCTCCACCTTTCCTCTCAGAGTTGTTTACTCAAACCTGCCAAATGCGAAACCAAGAAAGTGCAATAACTCAGCCCAAATCTGCAAGCCGCAGGCGACATGTCGTCACTTTGGGTCAAAGGCCTGAAACAGGGGTCAAGAGTCACGCCCTACGTCTGAGAAACGCCTGGGTAAAGGCCTAAGGTCAAAGGGTACCCAGGGCAGGGCCAAAAACAGCATCCAGAGGCCCCAGGTGCTGTAGTTGACTCTTGGAAATCAAGATTCAACCCAAGCACGGAAATTCCGCCCCAAAGTCAAACTCAACCATCTGGTCAGCCACGGCCATCGGTCAGATGCACATCATTGGTTTTCTGCAGGTATCCGGAAGATTCCAGTTCCGACTGGGAAACGGTACCACTGCTTCAAAGTTGCATCCAGGCCATCCAGATCGGTAAAATCTGGAGCGTCAACACTGTCAAAGGGGAGACTGGTCCATGCCAGTCCACACCAGTCAATGCTACAAAAGGATGGTCAGACAACAGGGAGGGCATTCTGCCTTGCGCTGGCTTGATACTAGTGTCATGACGCGAGGCTGCTGGAGCTGTATGCCGGCGCCAGATGATGGGAGTGGGCGCCAGCCTTGAGGGAGATAACGTTGGCGAAGCCATGGCCACGTAGATATAGACTAGGTGGTAATTATTGGCGAGGAGGAGGACGATCAGGGCTGTGAGACTGACAGGAGAGGTGGGGAGAATTACATGGACTTACCTGGCGACGACACGTGTGATCTGCTGCTGTCTCCACGAAGGTGAGGAAGTGCTGCACCATCCTCCATGTCTGATTGCGGATGTGGAAGGAGGATGGGCGCCCTGTTCTGATCAGCACAGTAATTATGACAGAGGACATCAGGGGGAACATGCATTGCTGAGGTGGCATGAGGGAGAGAAGCCCGAAGTGGGAGTGGGAGACAGGAAGACATATTTGTGATATTGACTATCATTGAGACTCTCCTCCTCCTCTTCTCTGTCTCATCTCTGCCCTTATTCTTCTCTCATGCTCTTCTCTGACAGGATAATACTCTTGAATTGTGCATTTGATCAAGACTTGGACTTGTAATTGACGATTGGTGACTTCATGAGGCACACTGGGTTCAGACTTCCATTGCATTGCTGATTGGGTTTCCGATGAGGCTGGGTTGATTACAATTTGGTATCAGAGCGATATTCTCCCACCTCGCGGGCTGCTGATTGTCACCATGGGGGAATGATGATGATGATGATGATGTGATGATGTGATGACGTGGTGATTGTCTGCCGTGGAGTGGAAGAGCGGCATTGTCGTCATCATTATCGTTTCTTGACATTTCATCGGCGGGCAGAGCAATATCAGTGCCACGTAGCAAAGTGATTGCCGACATGGCACTCACGAAAGAGACTGGCGAGAAGGAAGGAGCGCTGACATGGCATGGGAAGGCATGACGAGGCACTTACCGTCACTTACCAAGTGAAGACAAGTACGGCAGCTGCTCGTTGAGGTGGTAGACAGCTTGCTGACGTGGTCTACACTTTGATGCTAACGTGGACAGACTTGCTGACGTGGCAGGCACTATTGTGCCATCCTATACACCTCCTGCTGATGCATTCTCTACTGACGTGGCATGCTGCCCTGTCGAGGTTGCATTTCACACAGGTGCTGACGTGGCACCTCCATGAGAGCAGTGTGGTATCTCCATTGACATGGCACCTTCAAGGAGCAGCGGAGCTGATATGGTTCCTTCCTGGAGGCAAGTCGGTATTCTATTGCTGATGTGGCCTATGCATGGCCGATTGACGGCAGTACAGCGGAAGTTAATGCTGTAGTGCCACGTGCCTGGACGTGTGCCTGGTCACACAGACATCCGCAAGTGGACAGTGGGAGCAGCAGGAGCTAACAATTGTCTGCTTGTTGTGTGTGCTGATGCTGATTCTTGCATACTTGCCTGCCGTTGGCTGTCTTGTGGATGTTTGCAGACTTACCATTGTGTGTTGTCTTGATCTCACTGAGCCCGCACAGTCTCTCCAATTAGAATAACATAGGTGAAATGACCTGCCAAAACACAGACTGAGAACACTGCTGATTTCTGGGTTTTGCCGCTGGAATCTATGCCTTGCTGAAATTCCCGCATTCTGCTGAGTTTTCTAACTCTGTGAGCATGCCTGCTGATCTGCGTGCCTGTCTGAGTGCTTGTCGGCCTGAGTGTGTGTGTGAACCGCAAGGGTACTTTTTTCATTTGGAGGCCCTGCAGGGCCGGTACTTACCTGTGGCCGAGACTTTGAGGGTTGCAGCGGGGAAAAACACTCAAGTGGCGGGGGTAGGCCTGCGACACTTAGAACAGCGGGGACAAACACTCGAGTAGCAGGTAGGCCGGTACCACTCAAGTAGTAGTAGACGCGTCGGTTACTCGAGGCCGAGCAGAAGAAGACAAAAAGTTGGCATTATCAGAGGCCCAGATAGTGGTAGGCTAGAGGTAGTTGGGTAGCAGTCCATGTAGCCTTAGTCTAGGGCCTGTACGGACGATATCAGAGCCTGAAATGATGTTTCCCTCCGAAAGGGAGAAGCTACCGGTTGCATGGAGCCCGCGCGTTGTCGCACTTTTTCTAGTCGGGTCTCTTCAGGCGACCAGAAAGCCAACAGGCTGTCACGCAGGGTTTGGTTGAAGTTTGCAATAAATAAAATAAATTAAATAGAGGAAATCCCTTCCTGTTGTGTGCGTCCGGCTTCGAGCGAGACCCTTCAATTGCGGTCTTCGCCGGTCCCCGGTCTTTGGAATCTTTTATTTTGATTCGGAACAGCCGAGAATCATGCAAATAATAATCATAAAATTCTGATATGTCATGCATCCATCAATTTGCCAATTTTAAAATTTTTTAGAATTGTGACGAGATCATCTGGGAACACAACCATCAAGTAGAAATAATGCAAAAGAAGCAAGACTGACTGACTCGAGTGATGACAAGGATAAGTGAGGGAAGAACGTGAACTTGTAATAATCTCAGAGAGTAAACGTGAGGAGAGCATGGCCAGCACTAGTCAAGAGTCCTCACTCATCCCTCTGAACCTCAAGCTCAATCTCTCATTTTGCGGTATATCTGTTGTGCTTCCGGCGAAGCCTATGTACCCTCTGGGGTTGTGGTCTCTCGATGTAGAGCCATCTGAAGCCTGTTAGTCCTGAGCATCTCCATCCAAGCCCCATGATACAGAAGTCTACCATAGCACAAAACTCCTCCCATAGAGTAGGAAGGTATGGTTGAGAGAAAATCCCCTGCCTGAGTTGTCGAAACTCTGAGGGTTCTGTCAATGCCTCGTAATCAATCACCGCAGGGGAAATATACCTCTTCGCTAGTTCTACCAAGTCTCCCCAACGAGAACCGTTTGTGAGAAGGAAAGGAACTGGAGGCTTGGGGTAATCTATGTAGAGCTTTGGTCCAAAGCTGCGCATCAGCTTCACTTCATTTTAATCTAACTCTTTCTCTCTCTTCTAGGTACCTGGCCGCAGCAACCCAGACTGAATCGAAGTACTGATGAGTCTCCTCGCCTTTCTTTATGTAGAGTCTCAGGTCGAGGATGGTGCCTGCTGCAAAACTGGTGAGAACAACAAAAATGGATAGTTTTCCTTGTTTGAAGCCAACTGCACTGACGTACCGATACTGGACTGCATCTTTGAGGGCTATGATGTTGAGACTGGCCAAGACTGATTCACTAACAGGAGAAGACTGGACTGCACTCATGGGCTGATGCTGGTCGTTAAAACTGATCTCTCCACCTTTTTATGAGAGTGTCACCTAACTGATATTTGATGAGGCAAAGAGGGATGACTGATTGCTGATTGATTCCGACTGGAAGTTTCGAGTAACTCGGACGAATAAATGTTGATTGAATACTGGCTGAGTGCTGCTCAAACGCTGGTTGAATAACGAATCACGGAGTTCTGCTCACTTGGCATCAAAACGCTGAAAGAACTGCAGATTGAAGGGGGGCCACTTGCTGACTTGGATGCTGGTTGGGGTTCCAAGAGAAAAGTCTGGACACCTTTGTGTTTACCCAAGAGAAAAGTCTGGACACCTTTGTGTTTACCCAAGCCTTACCCTTGCTTGTCCGATGGTCTCTA